AAGATGCTCAAAGGCTATCTCTATGAAGTGAATGCCTATCTGACCAAAATACCTTGTGCATCAGAATGCAGATTTGTTTACTTTAAATTTACTTAAGTTTAACAAAAAGCTCCAGGCAAGAGAATTCTTTATCTATTCAGCTATTTATTAAATCTCTTAAGCTATTTTAAAATCTTATGAAGGCAATAGAATTTGAAGGTTGTTTAAATGATTGGTAAAAGATGTTTGGGGTAGAAAACATCTGTACTAGTTCGCTAGGGCTGCCATAACAAACTACTACAGACTGGGAGGCTTACAATGAAAATGTATTTCCTCACAGTTCTGGAGGCTGGAAGTCTGAGACCGAGGTGTGTCTGAGGACAGTCTCCTTTGGTTTGTAAATAGCCAGTGCCTCCCTCTTTCTTTACATGGTGGTTCATGTGCACATGTATGTGTCTTCTTTCTCTCTCTTTTTCTCTCTCTCTGTTTCACCCCAACTTCCTCTTCTTATAAGGAGGTCAGACTTACTGGATTAAGGCCCACTCTAATATTTCATTTTAACTTAAATTACTCTTTAAAGGCTCTATTTCCAAATATGAGTTGGGGCTTCAACATATGAACTTTGGGCAGACACAATTCATATCATAACAGCACCTCAACTTGGATGAAACTGTAGAAAGAGAACAACAGGACAAAGGCAGAATGAGAGTAGTGTTTGCTATTGTTTTAAGAAGGGCAGAGAGAATGCACTATGGATGGAAATTAAGTAGGTCCATTCACACATGCTTGCAAATCTCCCCAAACCCACTGTCATGCTGACCTCATCTTACATGTGTGTTCTCCATCCTCACTGACAGCCTCTTACCCAGCTGCTTGTATGCCTGGCCTCCCGTCCTCCCCCATGGTAACATGTGGCACGCTGCCTCAGTCAGTGCTTCACGGCAATTTCTCAGGCACGACTCCCAAGGGCAAGAAAGAGTGGGTTGTTGAAAACCTAAAATTTCTTTGACATCAAGTAGTATATCATTTTAAATCTCATAGACATGGAAGATTCTATTTCATAAAATAGCAATATTTGTAAATGTAAACATATTTTAATATGAAGTCAATTTAATTAATTAATGCAAAAATGTCTGAATTACCTGCCATCAGGTAAAGCAGTGTCCCTAGGAACATGGGTCAAGTTGATTCAGCATCTTCATATACTTCACAGACAGACCTATGTCCCTGGGTGGCACACCCCCCAGTTAAAGACACACCATGTAGACATTCACAACACTCAGGGAGAGGAGGAGAGCACAACAGCAAACAGGAACTGCAAACCAAGAGCAGCACTGGCCAACCATTTGGGGAGTTCCAGCAGCTGCTGCTCCTTTCTCCCAGTTCGCTGCTTAGGACTAACTTTTCACTGCTCCCTGCAGAGTGTGTGAGGAGAAGCTACATGTCATGTGTTTTCAAAAAGCACCGTAGTGTATATGCTGACCTGTCTTTGCCACTTAGGACCTAAACAATCCTTTCTTTGAATCTTTACTTTATCCCATCATTTCACAACTCTTTTCCTATTCCAAGTGCAGTTTTTATTTAAAGACAAAGATAAGTGAAACTTCAGTTCTGAACTCGACACTTTAATGTTCAAGTTTCATTGTAAGGAATATTTGCTTCTGTAGCAACCCTTCCATTAAAACTTCTAGCATTCATCATCTACTAATTTTTCCTAGCAACTACAAGGTCAGTGTCATATAAGGTACTGGGTAGTTCTGATTATATAGATCCACATGTTTTATTTTTATTTTTTATTTTTAGATCCTTATGTATTAGAAGAAGTAGGCTCATTGTGATGCTCAGTGTCACTCCTCCTGAGTCTTCAACTCTTATCTCCCAGGGGCATTACCCTCCCCCCACTCTCCCCCAAACTTCCCCACCCCCAGTGGCCTTCCCTCCAAGTATCTGGTTACACTAATCACTTCATCCCCTTGAGGATATCAAACACAGGAGAATAATAAGAATAATAACTCATTTTAATTTTGTAGAATGCAAATCCAATTCTTCTTCAGTTTGTTCTGATTAAAATAATAAATATTTTAAAGTATTGAGCAGTTTATAAATTTAATTCCTTGACAGCATCCCTCCAACAAAGAAAGAAGAGGGAAAAGAAGAAGACACCCAGTAGACCAAGAGTATCTGATTGAATTAAATAACATTTGGGTACAGAAAACTAAAACTTGCCAGAACGTTATACTATTCCCACTTCATTTCTTTCTCATATCTAAACTGGTCTTAGGAGTCTAGCCTGGAATAGTGCCTGTCTCCTGATTTACTCTTATGGCTTTATAGACCATTTCCAAAACTCTCAAGATAGCCTGTGAAGTTTTATCATCCGGCCATGATAGTGGACCTGCCCGGATCCCGTTCAGCACCTTCCAGTTTCTCTACACATATATTGCTGAGGTGGACGGGGAGATCTCTGCATCACATGTCAGCCGAATGCTGGCCTACATTGAACAGGAAGTGTAAGTAAATGTTTACCAACTGGAGGGGAGAAAGAAGGAGGGAAATAGAACTAGCAAGCCAAGGCAGACTGAGGTTACTGTGTTATGCTGCTCTGGGAACAGAGAAATATTATGGAGAACAAGAGATAAGGATCCAGAACAGCAGGGGGAGGAATGGTATAGAAGGGCGATTCTGTGTGTTGCCAAGACCAGCAGCAGCAGGGCATCACCAGGAAACCTGTTAGAAATGCAGTTTCTTAACCTGCTGAATTAGTGACTTGGGAGGTGAGGGCCCAAGCATCTGTGTCTTAGCAAGCCCTCCAGGTGATGATGGCTGGTGTTCAGGTTGCACCAGTGGGTAGGAGTTAGGGAGAAGGAGCAGGCAGGCCAGAGTTCAGAGAAAAAGTGAGTGAACAGGGCGGGAGCCGCAGCAGAATTCACCCAGAGAGTTTACAAAGTCTTCCTTAAGAATAATTGTTAAAGGAACTAACCCCAGGCCTATATCTCTCCCAAACAGAATTGGTCCTGATGGCTTAATCAAAGTGAGTGACTTTACCCAAAATCCCAGGGTTCGGCTGGAGTGAAAGCACATTTTTGGAATTTTAAAGGAAGATACAGAGATGTTTGTGCTTCAGAATAACTGAACCCCATACACCATCCACTGTCCATTTTCTTGTACAACTGGTGCGCACTAATAAACGGTTAGGCAGACATGAAATCAGAGATGTGTGGGCTTCAGAGGTAAAGTTATTGGAACGAAACACCTTCATAGAAGATCAGCGTTCTTCCCACACAGACACTAAGTGCGAGTGACTGAGGAGGCCTGGGTAGGAAACGCCCCTCAAGTCAAAACCAGACTGTCAGACTTTCCAAGGCAGAAAGAACGTGAACCAGACACAGTTCTGATGTTTTGCGATTGTTAGACATAACTTAGGTGAGTATCTTTTACATGGTCAGGCTGTGTTTTTACCAGTTTATTTCTCCATGTGCTGCTACAGTTCTAGTCATTCATTTCTTCCCTCACCCACCAATATTTACTGAGATGGGCTATCTGCCAGATAAAATGCAAGTTAAATTTGAATTTTGGATAAACAATATTTCCTTCTTCCCTGGCTAAACCTGGCAACCCTAGGCAGGGTCTATACTGGCTTCTGGGCACAAACAAATATCATAACTGAATTCTGCCCTCAAGGAGCTCACAGTTTCACACTAAGACATAAACCTAAGTCACTTTAATGCAAATGGCCCTGAGGGGTACTAATGAAGTGTCTCAGAGATCAGTATTAAAGTGTTGATATCAAGAGATTTTTCAGACCCCATAGACACACTATATGGGACCCTCTTGGGAAAATCCCTGCATGAGCTGAAGACCAGCTGACAAGGTCACAGAAAGGTTTTTCTTTCTCCCATGAGACAGATGAGATCCACAGGTCTTGTGGCTCTTGTTCTTAAGGCCAGGTGTGTCAAGGTTGCTGGGTCCCTTCCTATCTGTAATGCTATCCCCTCTTAAAAGTTACTTTTGCATAAAAATCATGGTATCTTATGCATATCTTATGCATATATCCTCTACAGAATTGGGGAGAAATTTGTCTATTAGTGTCTAAAGAAGTAGAAGACTGTGGCAGGATATCACCATAGGCCCTTGAGTTTGAGCTAGAGTAAACAATGAAAAGAGCCAAAACACATTCCATAACCATGGTCATCCAGCTGCACCTGCAGTGGCATGGCAACAGCTGATCATCCCTGCTGTCTGCCATCTTAGCCAAAGGGGCCCATTGTTTATATCCCACCCTGGAACCCCAGGCAGTTAGAAAAGCCTGAACATTGCCAGTGAACCTGGCAGTCTAATTCATGGGGATTAGAGAATAAGTGAAATCCTTCAGCCTGCCTCAGTGTGGCTGAAAGGAATTCTCTTTCATTGTGATCAGAAAATTTAAATATGACCTTGCTTAGGAGTAGGGAGTGAAGGAGAGCAAAGGGAACAACTCCAATATGAAAGACCCTAAGAAAGCAAATTAAGGCCCTGGCTGGTGTAGCTCAGTGTGGGCTGTGAACCAAAGTGTCTTGGGTTTGATTCCCAGTCAGGGTACAGGGCTGTGTTGTGAGCCAGGTCCCCAGTGGGGTCACATGAGAGGCAACCACACATTGATGTTTCTCCCTACTTTCCCCTCTCTCTAAAAATAAATAAATAAAATCTTTGTTAAAAAGTGTAAAACTTAAAAAAAGACAGAAAAGTAAGTTCATCAACATAATAAAAGCAATGTTTCTGTGGCAATGTTTCCTCTTCAGTCATTGACATGAGGAAACTCCTTAGTCTCACAGACACCCGACCTCTACAGCACATCTTCCAAACCTCCTTCAGCAATCACCCGAGTGTGGGGAACAGCTTTGCCTTCACCCTGCACTGTGCTCTATTAACAATATTATGTAATTGAGAATAGTCAACATTTATTAAGCACCTAGTATATACAAGCCTCAGTGCACAATACTTCATATACATTCTCAACATCTTTCTAATAAAGTGTCCTGGTGAAGTCACTACTGTTCTTCCCATTTCATGGATGAAACAGTCTTAAAAAAACTAAGTTGTTCACCGCCACTGGTGAGAAGCAATTTGAATTCAGGGTTGCCTGACCCCAAACTTGTGCTGCCTTGTATACTCAATGCCTGTCTTAGTATTGAGCTTCCCCCAGAAACAGCCTCTGAAACAAGGATGTAAGTGCAAGCAGTTTAGTATTTTGGAGCAATCCCAGGAACAGTGGAAAGGAAGTAAGAAAAGTCAGTGATGGGAAGAAAGCTAACAGTTATCAAGCCAGCTATCCTGGAGCCTGATCCTTCTGGAGGACTTTGGGAGACTGTAGAACATGCCTCGGAAGTATCCCACCTTAAGAGTTGAGGGCGCTATTCATCATCTGCTAAGGGCTGCCTCCTCACCACATTCTGTTCTGTGGTTGACTGGGGGCTGCTTCCAGGGGTATTAACTTTCTGGCATTTCTAGCTTGCCCAGCTCATGGCTTGAGCTTGCTTCCTTTGCTCCTGAAAAAAGTGCTCAGGTAGGAAGTTATAGGGGTTCACAGTAAGTATATGGATTGGGGCACTACCAAAATCTGTTGTGATGCCTCACAGACATTTTAGTGAATCAAATTTTTAGCATACTGATCACTATCATCTCTCAACTTGGGTCAGGCAAAAGCCCTTAGGGGTGGCAGGGCAATGATTGGCTGATACTGCACTGTATTAAAATCACACTTGACCCTTAAATCTGGCACATTGCTCAAACCAACTCTTTATTCCTTGTGATGAGGTCATTCCAAATGAGCTCTCTTAGTCCTTGCTGCTAACACACCCTTGTCATACCCGTCCCACTGGCCTTTGCTCCGTGACCAGAAATACCTGAATCCTAGTGTGATACAAGTTAAGCTGTCAATCTGAGGCCCCTATAATATAAGGTTTGTAGTTCTCCTTTAAAAAGAGAAATATTCAAGAAGTAATAAAATCAGGATTTTATAAGGAAAAAAGTAGGCTCTTTCTTTTGTAAAGGAAGCTTATTTGGTTCAAGTGGAGACTGCAGATACATTTAAAGCTTCAGTGGGAAATGCAAAGACTGTGGCTCAGTTCCATCTTCTATGTGCTCCAGGTCTTTTCTCTCTTTGATGCTGTTTACTCAGGCACCTCACTATCCCCACTTAACCAACAACTTCCAAGATCACCAGAGCCCTGCCACAGAAGGAGCTAGGCACTCAAATGAGGAAAGCTCATTTTGAATTAGAAAAAATGGGATTAACCCAGAATCATTGAAGAGGCTCCTGAATGCTTCTGAGAAATAAATATACATCTATATACATAGATGTGCACATATATATTTCAGAAATGTACACACCATCATTTGAGAAAAATACAAAGCTTCATAGCAAGTTCTCAGAATTGTGTATGATCTCAAGAGGTTTAAGAGTCGTGTTAGAAATAATTCTGGAAGATACCAAATGGCTTGATGAAAACCAACAGGGCAGTACATCTTTCCAAACAGATCTGAGCTCATGCTCCCAACATTTAATTTATTATCCAGTCTCAGCTTCTTTTTAAATTTATTTTCTTAGTATTGTTCAGTGACAGTTATCTCCATTCCCCCCAATTGCTCTCCCCACCCTGTCCAACCTCTGTTGCCAAAGACAATCCATACCCCATTGTCCTTGTCCAGGAGTCCTTTGTACATGTTCCCCTTCTTTCCCCAACCATCTCCTTCCCACCTAGCTGTCAGTTAGTTGTGCATTTCCATGTCTTTTTAAAAAATTTTTTATTGATTATGCTGTTACAGTTGTTCTATTCCCCCTTGCATTCCCCTCCACCCTACCCCCTCATCCCCACCATTACCCCCCCTTTAGTTTATGATCATGTGTCTCAAGTTCTTTAGGTTCTATATTTCCCATGCTATTCTTCCCCCCCCTTCTATTTTCTATCTACTGTCTGTGCTACTTATTTTCTGGACCTTCTCCCCCCTTCTCCTCCTCCCACTCCCCTGTTGCTAACCCTCCTTGAGATCTTCATTTCTATGTTTCCACTCCTGATCTAGCTGTCCTTTTAGTTTGCTTTTGTTTTAGGTGTGGTTGTTAATAACTGTGAGTTTGTTGTCCTTTCACTGTTCATGTTTCTTTAACTTCTTTTTCTTAGATAAGTCCCTTTAACATTTCATATAATAAGGACTTGGTGATGATGAACTCCTTGAATTTGATCTTATCTGAGAAGCACTTTATCTGTCCTTCCATTCTAAATGAAAGTTTTGCTGGATAGAGCAATCTTGGTTGTAGGTCTTTGGATTTCATGACTTGGAATATTTCTTTCCAGCCCCTTCTTGCCTGTAAGGTCTCTTTTGAGAAATCTGCTGACAGTCTGATGGGGCTCCTTTGTAGGTGACTGTCCCCTTAGCCCTTGCTGCTTCTAGGATTCTCTCCTTCATTTTAATCTTGGCTAATGTAATGATGATGTGCTTTGGTGTGTTCCTTCTTGGGTCCAACTTCTTTGGGACTCTCTGAGCTTCCTGGATTTCCTGGAATTCTATTTCCTTTGCCAGATTGGGGAAATTCTCCTTTATTATTTGTTCAAATAAGTTTTCCACTGGTGGCTGTGCCTTTCCCCCCTTCTGGTACCCCTATAATTCAGTTGTTGGAGCGTTTAAAGATGTCCTGGAGGTTCCTAAGACTCTCCTCATTTCTTTGAATTCTTGCTTCTTGACTCTTTTCTGTTTGGCCATTATTTGCTTTCCTCTGGTCCACTCCATTGATTTGAGTCCCAGTTTCCTTTTCATTGCTATTGGTGTCCTGTGCAATTCCATTCATTTCAATTAGTTTCACCTTCACATATTTGTCTAATTTGTGGCTATAATCAACCAGTTCTGTGAGGATTCTGATCACCAGTGTTTTAAACTGTGTGTCTGAGAGTTTTGCTATTTCTTCATCGCTTAGATCTATAAGCTCTGGAGCTTTGAGATCTTCTTGCGCCATTTTTGGTCTGTTCACGCCCTTTAAGTGTGAGAAGCGGCGCCTTG